ACCACACGTCCCAAAAGTCCCGGACCAATAGGGACATCCACAATGGTATCCGTTCGCATCACCGTATCTCCTTCAAGAATATTTCTGGCAAACAGATACTTGCAATCTTAGAATCATTCTATTGAACGAACCTGTCATCACCGAAAATGACAACGCCAACATTGTCTGTTTCCAAATTTAACGCCATGCCTTTCACTCCGCTACTAAATTGAACCATTTCTCCAGCCTTGCAATTTCTAAGTCCATAAATACGAGCGATACCATCTCCCACACTCAGAACACGTCCAGCCTCTCCTGTAGCTTGCTATCAGAAAAACCGACCAAGAATGAAGGGTTCAGAGCTATCGGTCTACCTGGGCTGACCATCCACCAATGCGCTGCTCAAGCAATCTCGACATCTCTGCCGGAGAGATTTTCGATGCGGATGAGGCATTGCGCGCTGATGACGTCGAGAGGTTCCGAAGAGCTGCAGCTGTCGCCGCGATACTGCGGGACATCAGAGGACCACCCAAAAGCTGTTGTAGTGAGGCCATGGCGCAGCGAGTCTATGTATGACTAAGAAATGGTCTCAAATTCTAGGACCATTCACTGTATATTTCTGCATGTGTGAGGTTTTCAACGATTAAGACACTTCCACTATCGACGTCTTAACAGCTCGTTTTCTCTTATTATGTCATCGACTCCTCTTTCTCCACAATCGCCCCGTTCAACTCAACAATCTGCAACACTTCAGTCATCCGTCCAAGCATCTCAAGATACCGATGTTCCATCAACGTCACTCCAGATTAACACCGCGATTCTTAAAGAGGTGAGGAGTCACAACTTCCCCCCTTCTCCCCCGCAAGTTTCCTTACCGTGTAGATCGCTCGAATCTATAGTCCTCCAGAATCTTCTTCCTCCACATTGAAGAAGACTTCTAAGACTCGGCGGCGGTCCCTTTCGTCGGATCGAGCCGAAGTTCCCCCCATTGGATTGAAGCGAATTGGCCAGTTAATGAAACTTCCAGTCTCTATCAGTCATCATAAAGCTGCAGTCATGATAATTGGAAATATATCAGCTGGCAAATCGACATTGTGAGTTTGATATGGATATACGAAAGATATATGACAGATATACGAAAGATATATGACAGATATACGAAAGATATATGACAGATATACGAAAGATATATGACAGATATACGAAAGATATATGACAGATATACGAAAGATATGTGAGAGATATATGAAAGAGATTGATGTTGGATGAATATAAGGATACTTATTGCTCTTTAGCATCAACTGGTACGTCCAAGAAGCAGTTCAAAAAACCGGAATGGCAATAGGTATGTTTGATTCGTTGATGAATGCTTTTATCTTTGTTGATGAATGCTTTTATCTTTCTCGTTTGGTTGATGTTTATCTTTGTCTTCCGTAGAAACGTCCGGGTTCACGTATATTACTTCTGGCCGTTGCGTGACTGAAATCGGTGGTGATTCCACGTTGTCGTTACGACCGCAGCTGGAGAAGCTCACATCTAAGTACAAGGGTATGGCGAGAAATGGAGCAGGATAGTACGGGATCAGTCCCCTTGTCATGATCCAATGCTATCGATGCAGGCCTACTGGAGAATCTTTCGCTGAAGACTTGCCCATCAAGAGATGGACGCTTGCATTTGGTCGATTTGATTGACACGCCCGGTCTTGCTGATGGGGAGTTGCAATATCCGTTTGATGTCGAGGAAGTGATCTTTGAGATGCGCCATTACGTCGATCTGTTCTTTGGTAAACTTCTATTCAATGATCCTTCCGTTTGATGGTTAGACTCACTTTATATCCTGCGGTCTATTTCAGTGTTCTTCGACCCCATCGGACAGGCTCTTGGAAAGTGAGGAAATCCGCTTGACGATGTTCTCACGATAAATGTTTCCAGGAGGATGCTTTCTGTTGTCAAGAGGTTGAACGATGCATGTCCAGACCGTATACGGTTCTGTTTGACTAAAGTGGATGAAGTTCGAACAGAAGAAGAGCGAATTAAAGTGATGTGCCAGACGACTCAGAGTCTGACAGCTAAGATAAGCTCTAGGTAAGCATGAGAGAGATTCGTACTTGATGCCTTTTCGATTGGACCATCATTGATTATATTTATTGTGACAGACATGGGTTTGATCTGATACCAGTTTTCATTCCCGGTGCGAAAGATGGAACGTATTTGTCCCTTCCAAATCAACCATCCGGCGAGAGTAGAGTCCCCGTTGTGAATCGGTTGAAGGTGGGACACGAATTGTTGACTCAATATTGTTTGTTATTTAGGACCTTGTTGACGATATTGATCGTGTTACTGAACGGCGTATTCAAGATGCTTTGAACACGTTATCGACAGACGTGACGAAACTAATGGGAGCAGTGGATCGGTAGGAACGATCATTAAAATCTTTGAAGAGAGCGTCTCTCGGACAAACAAATTCTCTCGTATATATTTGTTTCTAGAAAAGTTCAAGAAGTGTCAGATAAACAGAAGGAAATTCAGTTACTCCACTCCCGGTCTCGTCGCCTTGGCGTTCTTCGTCTCGTCGTTCTCTTTGCGTGCTTGATCGTTGGGATCCTCCATCTCAAGTCTTCCAATTTTATGCCTTCCATCATTGATGACTGGTATGTCCCAATTAACAATGTTGCTTGGTATGTCCCAATTGGGGCATCACATCAGTGTGTTGTTTTTAGGTTCGGAGCAGTCGATCCAACGATTACTGTCTATTTGGATTCGACGGTCATCCATCTCTCATCAAGTAATTGATCGTCGCTTGGGATCATTCCTGATATTTTCTCTTGTCACCAGTACCCCACGTCTTCCTTGCTCTCTGGATTTCCCTCGTTATTATCTTTCTATCAACAATATCGTTGAAGGTCAGTCTGGAATTCCATCTACCATTAATCAATTAATCAATTCTCCTTACGACTTATCAACTTCTGTACTGTATGAGTGTCATCAACTTCTCTACTTCATAAGTGTCATCAACTTCTCTACTTTAGTCCGGCAATCGAATCGGCTCATCGCGTGCAGAAGAAGAACACTCCAAATTTCTGGTTCGTTCAAGTGTTGAATATTCAAGTGATTTTCATTTTCAGGAATGTCGTGAATTCTTGTCGATGGCTCGACTTCGATGGAAACAACTCAATCATTTATATTTGGATCATGCTTTGACTGATTCTGCAGAATCAATGAACGACTCTTAAATTATTCTTTAATTTCATTTTCCTACCAATTAGTTTTAGTGTGACGATCTTCCAACGCATTTGTAATCCACATCTATTTCCAGTTACTTTTTTGTACGCCACGACCATAAACATGGCGCTTGAAGCATGCAGGAATGGCTGGTGGACCAATTTGAGATCGCTGCGCAGCGTTCTCTTTGGCTGCACAACACGCAGTACCTACGGGGTTTGGATGAACTTTGTAAGACGAAACTAATGAAGACAAATCCGAAGCAAGCGGTGTTGGTTGGAACAGAAACGAGACGAGAGGTGCAGAGTATGCCACAACGAAAGATTACCATCTTGGGTCACTGCAACCAGCCAGCTATGATATACAACTCTCTTTGATTTGTGGAGAATCACTTGTTACAATATTGACAAATCTTATGTTGTCAAGTCTACAAGTGGACCATGTGGCTTTTTGAATGTTTGTTTTTAATGTTTTGCAAGACCAGGCACAACAATCGAAAGAACAAGAAATATCATCGTGTATACTTATCAGTAGTGTACCTCTCTCTTAAACAGTTATTGGATTCTATTATTCACCTGAGCTCAAACAAGAACTCTTTGAAAGATGCAGGCTATTAGAGCGTATTTGAATTCCGCCGAAGATGAGGAAATCAATTTATGCGACCGCCGGATTCCTTTTTCGTTGTTGGGGCGTTGCTGTTTTGAGATGGGAAAAGTAGTGGCAGAGACACATCCTGACCTCGCGTTCCAGTGTTCACTATTCGGCCACCAATATTGCTCTCGTTTAAGCGTCATGAGGAATGCTTGCTTTCTGAGAGTCGTTGAATTGGTCGCTTCAAGGCCGTTTCCTTCAGAAAATGCAGAATCACTGGAGCAGGAGTTTGAAGCTCCTCTTGCTATTCCTCTTCCAGTAGAGCGGCCAATGATCGCTGACCAAGATCCAACTGGTCGCATCATACAAGCACGTTCTGATGAGGCAGATTTGGAATGCATTTCTAGGTACATTGTTGGCATGCGACCGAGACCAGTCTCTTTGTCTGGGTTGTCTGAGCAATGCTGCTGCATGGATTCGATGCTAGTAGTGCCATCATTTTACAACTTCTTGCGCTCCAGGGAATTCAAATCAGGTTAGATTTCAATGAATGCATCTGGATTATTTTTGTTTGTTTCAGAGTTCTGCCCCCCTTCAGACGAGATTTCCAAATGTTTCATTGTGGCGTCCTTATCCTCATTGGAGAGAATACACTACGTAACACTGACGCAGAAATCGTATGGAGCCAAGTTCGACAAAATATCGAGGGTCTTCTACCAAATGGTTTCAGCAGAGTGCCCCATGATGTATTGGCTTACGTTATGACGAAAAGATACTCTGCAATTCCGGCTTTACAAACATCGACCTGGACATCCACACGAAGTATGGCCAATGGAGATTCTGAACAGGCGAAGTCTTCAAGAGCGGATCCAAACTCTTCCTGCTCTTGTAAATGCAACGCGCTACATCTACCACAATCTAGTTCCTATGGCAAAAAGTGTCATATCAGATTTGCGGAGCGCAACAAGATTTCAGACCTGTTGTCGCTACGTTGGCAATAACTTTAGAAAAATTGTTGAAAAGAGAAATCACGACATTGATGCAATTCGTGAGGCATATTGCGTTGGTAAAAGCAATTATAGTGAATTCCCTCACTTACAGTTCGTTGAAGTGGATTTGGATGGTGACTTCATTCAAGTAACAATGGGACAACTGCCAGACATCGGTATCCCAGTTACTCTTCAAGAGGCAATCCAATTCATTCACGATATTTCAAAGTGTCTCGCAATTCTCCATGATGCAAAACTCCTTCATACGGACGTACGCTTCGCCAACATTCGCAAATCAAACAATGGAAAGTTTGTTCTTATTGATTTTGAATTTATCCGAAATGGAGGAGCAGAGATGAGAGTCGCGTTTGAATCTCAGGCAACCTATTCTGAGTGGGACGAGCCGTTGTAGTTATTCCCACCATTGGAATCATTGTTTTACACAGAACAGTCAGAAATGTATCAATTTGGTTGAACTTGGGAGAGCTCTTTCCATTAGAGTGTCAAGCACAAACCTCGATGGAACGAGAAGCAGTTCTGTTATTTGATGACCTTTGCAAGCCATTGGGCCAGTGGGTGAGAGCCCAAGATATTCAAGCAAAAGCAGCGGCAATACTTTCATCCTGGTTATGAACTCTTGGTTTTCTGATAATGTTAACTTATTCAACGACTAAACGAGACATTAGCTTGAACTCAGAAGTTTCAAGACTCAAGACTGACACTTGTTCTTATAAAGAACGCAATCTACAATTT